GCCTCAGTCATGCCCCGGACCACAGTGAAGCCAGGCTGCCTTGAAGAAGCTCTCCCAGACTGCTCTTTTCCCCAAGGCAGGGTCATGATTTGCCACATGTCTCCTGGGTGTCAGCGAGACTGGAGTCGGAGCAGGCATCAAACCTTACCTCCCATATGTCACACCTCACCATAGACCTGGGCGCCAAATGCCCTGAAGAGTCTGAACTCACATTGGCAGTTAGCATGGTGTCCCTACGGCTGCATCTGCAGTTAACACAGCACCCCTGTGGTCACTGCCTCCCTTGATCACCACAACCACCCTGGGAGAAAGGCAGAACGTCATCATCTGATAGAAGGGATGCTGAGGCTCTGGGAGGGAAAGGGACTTGCCTAGAGGCCCAGGGTGAGGCAGCATCTCTGGACTCCCAGTCCAGTGCTCTTGCCCAATACCGTGCTGCCTGCCGCTACCCGTCCACACTGGTCATCAGCAGGTCATAGGGCAAGCCCCAATCCCTGCCTCATTTTGGTTTATGGGCTCTGGACCCACAGCCCTACCCTCCAGTCATCTGGAGACAAAAACAGATGCCATTGTTCTTCCTTAGAGAATGTGGCCAGTGGAAACAGGACACACTGGGAGTCGGAGTGAACGTCCTTGAAGGAGGGCCATGGGTCAGCAAGGCCAAGCCAAAGGATGCAGTAGAACGCTTTTCCCGAGAAATCTTTGGGAGTGAAGCAGGCTTCAGCCAGTCCCATCCCTGCCCCTGCAGCCACCCCACCATGTGTGTGTAGACCTGGTAGGGTGGGGGGGACCGGGTGGGGGTGGAGGAAAAATCAGCTTGCCTATGGCCCTCAGGCTCCTTCCCCAGCTGCTTCTGTCCTAGCCCAGGCCCGGAAGCCATTCTTACACTCTCATGCTCCTGTGCACACCCACACACACATCACACACCTTGATGGTCACACAGTCACAGCCCGGCCTGTTCTCCTGTGGGCCCGTGGCCGGACACCCCCTGGGATGGCTCAAAGGGGTCAGGACTTGGAAGTGGGGCCATCAGGGTAGCTGAGGGAAATCCACACGCCCAGAGCAGATCGGGGTTCAGACTCTCTGACCTGAGGTAGGCTCCCCCGGGGCTCGGAGGGGAGTTGGACGGAATGGAGGATGGAAGAAAGCAAGAAGAAAGGAGGAGGAGAGCAACGTGTGGGCAGCCACCAAGAGTGAAAATAGGGGGAAACGCCATCAAGTGCTGGACAGAAGGGGCAGGTGGGACGAGCCCCACAGCCCCCTCCACATAAACGACCCCCTCCGGACTCAGCGTTCCCTGTGGGGCAGGCTCCTACAGCCCTCAGCCACATGTGGTTCCAGTACCCAGGGTCCGAGTGCCTGGGATGGAGACGGTGGGTTCTGGCGGCCAGGTCCGATGCTCTGGAATCCAGCACCATTTCCCTCCTGGCCATGCCAGTCCCCCAGCCTGTCCCATGCATTCAGCCCCTACGCACCCGGGGACCCTGGGAAGGATGCGAGGGCACCTGTGGAGAGAGGGCAGAAGAGGTCAGGGGAAGCCCCGGCACCTGTGGAGAGAGGGTACAGGGGCACTTCCCCCAAGGCAGACCCAGCAGTCAGAGGCCCAGGAGCAGGGACCTGGGCCGGGCTGGGGGCACTGCGGGGGCTTGGCACTGCATCCTTGGGCTGAACTTGGGAGACCTGCGGGCCAGTCTTTTACTCCCACATTCTATTGAACTCTTTTTTTTTTTTGATGGAGTTTCACTCTGTTGCCCAGGCAGGAATGCAGTAGTGCAATCTCGGCTCACTGCAACCTCTGCCTCCCAGGTTCAAGTGATTCTCCTGCCTCAGCCTCACCAGTAGCTGGGATTACAGGCACCTGCCACTACGCCTGGCTAAGTTTTTATTTTTAGTAGAGACGGGGTTTCATCATGTTGATCAGGCTGGCCTCAAACTCCTGATCTTGTGATCCACCGCCTTCGCTTCCCAAAGTGCTGAAATTACAAGCCTGGGCCATCGCACCTGGCCCACTGAACTATTCCTGTCAAGGTCATCAGTAGCCTCGGTGTTGCTGGACCCTATGGTTATTCTCAGTCCTTCTCTTATTTAGTCTCTTGGCAGCATTTGACCTGGTTGATCACTCCTTCCTCCTGGATACATGTTCTTCATTTGCACTGGTGTGCACGTACTCTCCTGGTGTCCCTTCTACAACACGGGTTCGTCCTCTTTTCTCCAATAATTCTTAACATCAGAGTGACCACAATGGAGTGGTCAAGTCTTTTGTATCCATAGTGACTCCTCTGATGGTCTCATCCAGATGAATGACTTCCAATACCACTCATGCTAGTAATGCCCAATTTTTTAAATCTCCAACCCTTTAAAAACACTTCTAACTTGGCTGGGTGTGGTAGCTCACACCTGTAATCTCAGCACTTTGGGAGGCCAAGGCAGGTGGATCACCTGAGGTCAGGAGTTCAAGACCAGTCTGGCCAATATGGCGAAACCCTGTCTCAACTAAAAATACAAAAATGAGTCAGGCGACCCAGCTACTCAGGAGGCTGAGAATCACTTGAACCTGGGAGGCAGAGGTTGCAGTGAGCCGGAATTGTATCACTGCACTCCAACCTGGATGACAGAGCAAGACTCCATCTCAAATTAAAAATAAATAAATAAACTCCTAAGTCATACATATTTCTCCTTGACATCTCCCCTCAAAAGTCTAATGGCTGCCTCCAACCCAACATGTCCCAAATTAAATTTTCGAGCCAGGCATGTTGGCTTATGCTTGTAATCCCAGCACTTTGAGAGCCTCAGGTAGGAGGATCGCTTCAGCACAGGAGTTCAAGACCAGCCATGACAACATAGTGAGACCCCCATCTCTACAAAAAATTTAAAAATTAGTGGCCAGGCATGGTGGCTCACTCCTGCAATCCTAGCATTTTGGGAGGCTGAGGCGAGTGGATGACCTGAGGTCAGGAGTTTGAGACCAGCCTGATCAACATGGCGAAACCCCATCTCTACTAGAAATACAAAAATTAGCCAGGCGTGGTGTCAGGCACCTGTAATCCCAGCTGCTTGAGAGGCTGAGGGAAGGGGAATCGCTTGGACCTGGGAGGCGGAGGTTGCAGTGAGCCAACATCATACCATTGCATTCCAGCCTGAGTGACACGACAAGACTCCATCTCAAAAAATATATATATTATTATTATTATTATTTAAAAATAGGCTGGGGGCGTTGGCTCATGCCTGTAATCCCAGCACTATGGGAAGCCAAGGTGGGCGGATCACAAAGTCAAGAGATAAGACCACCCTGGCCAATATGATGAAACCCCGTCTCTACTTAAAAAAATACAAAAATTAGCTGGACGTGGTGGCGCACGCCTGTAGTCCCAGCTACTTGAGAAGGTGAGGCAGGAGAACTGCTTCAATCCAGGAGGTGGAGGTTGCAGTGAGCCGAGATCACACCACTGTACTTCAGCCTGGTGACAGAGCAATACTAGTCTCAATAAATAAATAAATAAAATAAAAATAAAAAATAAAAATTAGCTGGGCGTGGTGGCATGTTCCTATAGTCCCAGCTACTCAAGAGGATCACTTGGGGCTGGGAGGTTAAGGCTGTAGTGAGCCCTGGTCGTACACTGCACTCCAGCCTGGGCAAGAGGGGGAGACCCTATCTCAGAAATGAAAACAAACAAAAAACAAGTATCAGTCCTTTGCTTAAAATCCCGAAGTACCCCCTCAACATAAAAGCCAAAGTCTTTCCAAGGGCTACAAGCTCTTTAACCCCTCCCTCTCCTCCTTACCCACTCTGCTCCAGCCGAGACAGCGTTCTGACTCTTCTGACATGCCAGGCATGTTCCCATCTTAAGGCTTTTCCACTGTGTCCCCTTCCTGAAATGTTCTCCCCCTGGATATCCACACGTGGCTTGACCCCTGTAAAATAGCACCTTCTCAGTAAGACCTACTCTGCCATACACTACTTTAAAATTATTCCCCATCCCCACCCCAAGCTCTGCTTATTTTCTATAACCTGCTCGGTTTTGTTTCATAACACATCACCTGCTAACATACACACTTTACTAATTCTTGATGTTTATGGTCTGGGAAGAAGGAAA